GGCGTCACGGCTGCATCTACGGTCACACGACACACACACACTTCACGCACACACAGACGCATCACACACACACACACCGACATCTCCACCGACACACGACACACACACAACACACACTCCACCACGACACACCCACGATCACACACACACACACACACGCACGGCACACACCCGACACGCACGCGACGACGCACACGCACACAACACACACACACACACCACACACACTCTCTCTCTCTCTCTCTCTCACACACACACCACACACGCGCGCCCCGCGCGCGCGACACGCACACGGCCACACCCGCACACGCAACACACACAGCGATCGGCGCTGCGCCTGCGAACACGCACCGAGCTCCGACGCGCACTGCGCGACGCGCGACGATGCCACACTCACACACAGCACACACTCACGCACACAGTCCACACAACACACTACACACATCACACACACCACCACCACATACACCACACACACGACACACACACACCACCACACCACACACCAGCACACACTGCAGCTCACACACACGCCACACACACACACACACACACACACAGCACACACACACACGACATACGCACACGTCACACACACACACACACACACACACACACACACACACACACACACACACACATATCTGCGACGTGCGTTCTTACGTTTCAGGCTACACAACGGATTGCGGTGAATTGCGATACATTGGTGAGAGGAAGAGCGGAATCTACACGATATACCCCGAATACTCAGAGCTACCGTTTGAAGCGTTCTGTGATATGGAGACAGACGGCGGCGGATGGACGGTCAGTGACTTCTCTCAGGGTCTGATTCCTCAGCTTTGATCTGCTCACTGAGGCTGCCTGCGGTGTGGTCGTGCTACGCGAATGTTTAAACATATATCGTCGCTGTTTAGTGAGCGATGGACGACGGCAGTGATGAGTGTGGCATGACGATAACTCGTGTTGACCGCAGGGTAACGCGAAAATGGTTTCGAACGAATCGTTTTCCCGGTTATTTTCCAGATCTTCCAGAAACGCTTCGATGGTTCCGTCGACTTCTACCGGGGCTGGAGCGCCTACAAGTACGGATTCGGTGAATTGAAAGGCGAATACTGGTTAGGTACGTGCGCACACTGTACGTCGGTGACAACCAACAAGTGTCTTGGAGCTATGGGAAATTGTTTGCGCGTGGCTAATCTATACACCCGGGGCAGACACACGCACTCTTCGCTTCACTAAGCGAGACGTTTTGCGTGGGTTAGAAACGCGTGGTTGGTTTCTACAAGCTTGGGAGAGTCGGTGCGTGTGGATGCATGTATTTGTGCGTGAGTGCATGTACCACGCCTTCGCTCGCGGGCCCATGAACGTGCGTACGTGTGTGCGTGCGTGAATGCGTGGGTACGTGCATGCGTGAATGCGTGGGTACGTGCATGCGTGTATGCGTACGTCTGTCTTTGACACGCGCGTAAGTGCGTGCGTGTATACCCGCGTCTTCGCATGTGCACGCGTGCGTGCATGCTTGTATGCGCGAGCGTGCGTTAATGCGGTTTAGCGTACATGCGTCAGTGTACCGCGTATTATTTCTACGCAGGATTGAAGAAGCTGCATGACCTTACACATCAAGGTCCCGTGCAACTACGCATCGATTTGGAAGATGCGGAAGGCATCACCCGCCACGCCATCTATGATGATTTTAAAGTTACGTCAGAGGAAGATGGTTACAGAATTCTCGTCGGGATGTACTCCGGAAATGCCGGTCAGTATATTTCGCACTCTTTTTTCTTCGCATTTTTTTATTTCGCGTTTAGTTAACGATATAATCGGTGTAACTCAATGGTAAGTACGACCGCAACATTAGGAAAGCAATAAAATTAAACAGACCGAAAAGAACCGAAAGAAACGTACAATTGATGGACTGCAGTGCCATCGTCATGGTCTCTCTATTTATTCAGGCGACTCTCTGAGCTTTCACAACCGTATGCGATTCTCAACGCCCGATGTTGACAATGACATCCACACGGGGGCGCACTGTGCGCAAGTGAACGTGGGTGCGTGGTGGTACAGAGACTGCCAACATGCCAACTTGAACGGACTTTATCTCCTTGGTGCGAATAGCTTCCATCAAAAGGGCATCACCTGGTATCACTTCAGAGGCTACGACTACTCGCTGAAGCGATCAGAGATGAAGGTACGGCGAGTAGTGCATGCGCTACATGTGCAGAGATAGCACCGGTGATGGACCATCGCCTAATAATCAGCAAAATATATAGATGAATAAATAAAGCGTATATTTAAAATTTACTCTTTAATTGTCTATGGTGCCATTTGCGTTCGTAGCAAGACATCGCATTCTGGTTACGCTATTGTGTTATATTTTTATTATTGTGTCGTGTTGCATCAATGCTGTTTTTTGTTATTCGGAGATCGATGGTCGGCTTGCAGAGATAGCTAGAGGTCACCATAATGATATAGACATCGTTCAGTTGTTCATCGTGATATGTAATGTTACAGTTGTGATAAGGCTATGATATAGCTATCTTACTACGCGAGCAAAATAGGTAAAATAATAAAATACCTTGTTTTTTAAACGAATGTTGGTCATATATTTTGTATATCTGTATATACATGGCATAGTAACGCGTCCACGTGTTCTCTAACGGGATGCAATATGTAATAATAAGACTTTATTAATAAATAATAATTATTTATTAATAAATATATTGCTTTTCTTTGAACAGTTAGCAACATGTTATGGAATTAATTAATGTTCCTTTATCAAAAAACAAGTATACATACACACGCGCGCACGCACGCGAACACACGCGTATACAAACAGTATATTGCATAATGCATTATGAGCAACTTTATATTCAGTAATTCTTGTACGTAATTCATATACGTGATTCTTGTACGTAATTCTCATACGTTATAATTATTTATATATAATAGGCCTATATATACTCCCTTTTTCCGTTTCGTTTCCTTTCTCACTTTCTTACTCCCCTCTCGCCGATGGTATCGCCCACGACCAGTCAAGCATGGGAAAACTTTTGCAGGTAAATGGCCGTATTTCAGCCGAAACTTTTTCAACCCCCGTAGCACAATATTTGAATTTACGCATGTAATACACGCGCACGCGTGCGTGCAACCACACCCGCGTGTGTGCGCCCGTCATCGGCGATTCGGGGGAGGGGGTTATGTAATTCGATCATATAGTCATAGCGTTAAAATTTATCGTTGTAGCTTAGTTAATTAATTATTTGCGTTGGGAAAGCGACGTTGGTCACCAACGATGTCTGCTAATCATTTCAGCACGGAGTATGGTCACCTAGGCGGCGCCACTGTAGTCGGTGATGTGTGTGGCGACGGTAAAACTGCGTTGTTAGGTAATTCGTCAGTAAGACGACCAATCTGGGGTCCGTGTGTGCACAATTCAGCATGTATAGAAGTCGATTACTTTATGTCAAGATATATTTAAGATATA